TTGCTTATTGGTCTTCTTTGAGCACTATGAAATTTATTATTATCAGCCCTTATTTTTTGGAGTTCTCTAGGTAGTGATTGAGATATTACTGTAGGTTTTAGTTTCAGAGAGTTTCGGTTTTAGTTTCAGAGAGTTTCAAGTACAAGGTCTGATAGTTTTAGTTATGTTTAGGAGGAGTTATATTGTGATTAGGAGAGGTATGTAGTTTGATTTGTTATATCCTTTTCTTTCTTTCTATATTTTATTGTTTTCTCTTTATTTCTCCTATTTTGAGATATTTTACTGGAATTTTCTTTTACAAAAAATAAAATATAAATATCATTGAAAACTCTACAAAATATCATATATTTTACAATTTATCCACAAAACAGAACCTTCAATTTGTGATGTAAAAAGGAACCGGTTCATTCTTAGGAACCCTAGCTACATTTTGTTGAGGAATTTGTTTTTATGGAGTAGTCATGATTAATTTTGCTGTTCCTTTTTTGTTCTTTTTAAATACATTGACTAAATTGTTATCATGTTTACCAATAATATATTTTTTGTCCATATATTATATTTAGGTTATCATGGCTAGAAGTTGGATAACTTAATCAAGGTACTTCAGATTGTAGTTTGATTAGGTTACTTAATCTAATAACTACAGTTTACTCAATTTGATTTTTTATATGCATTACCATGCAACTAGGTTAAGTTCAGCATACTTGTGTGGAGTTGAAGAGTTTGAGTTGGGAAGGATGGGCGTATATATTGTCTTTGTACTGATTGTGGCAATTGTATAAAAAAAACACGTTCTGAGGTGAGAGATGATTTGGTATGCAATAAGTTTATTCAGTCATACACAACTTGGTTTTATCACGGGGAAGAAGTGCCGCCATCTTCTCAGCAAACTGATGTACACACAACACATGAGGATATCAATGCAAACAAAAATGATGATATGCATGGACTCTTACATGAGGGTTTTGGTGTTCCAACTGAAGGGAAGGAAGAGACCAATGGAGAAAATGATCAGCATCGAAGGGTGTCAAATGAAGAGTTAGATAAATTTTATAGGCTATTGGAAGATGCAAACCAAGAGTTATATCGTGGGTGTAAAAAGTTTTCAAAGTTATCCTGTGTAGTGAAGCTATATTTAGTCTTCACTAAATATAATTGGAGTGACAAATCATTCACTGATCTGTTAAAAGTGATAAAAGATGGATTACCAGATAACGAGCCATTACCAAAAACCTTCAATGAAACAAAGAAGATGATTGGTGACCTGGGTCTTAAATATGATAAGATTCATGCATGTCCCTCTGATTGTATGTTGTATTGGAAGGAGCACTCTAATGATGAAATGTGTCATAATTGTGGCAAGTCAGGGTGGAAAGTTTTTGATTCAGAAGATTCAAAATGAGAAAATATAAATAACGGAAGAAACGGCGTCAAAAACTGAGTTCTGAGCAAAAAGTTATGCCCCGAACAAGTTCGGCGGCAACTAGGCCAGAAACCCTGAAACTGAGGGAAAACGACCAGAAGACAATTCTAAGAGTACACGACTCAACGAAATGTGAAAATGAATCCCGTACAAGGATCCAGGCTCAAAACAAAGCATTTTTGCAATAACTTTTATTAATTGCACTAATGACCTAAAATGAAAATATCTTCAAAAAATATTTTCTTAAAAACTCCTGAAATAAAATATCTTCAAAAGATATTTACGAAAAATACCCCAAGAAAAGAAAAAGATTCTGAAAAACTAAGTATCCATGCCCCTATGGACACCGGGAGCAACCTGAGGGCAATGCGAGTACATCATCCTCATCAACAAATAAAAAAATTCTTGCTAAAGTTATACGATATTTTCCTTTGAAGCCAAGACTCCAAAGATTGTTCATGTCAAGTAAGACAGCTTCTTCTATGAGATGGCATGCCGAAGAGCGAATCAAGGATGGATTGATGAGACATCCCGTTGACTCCCCAGTGTGGGATAGCTTTGATAAAAGATACCCAACATTTTCTAGTGATCCTCGAAATTTCAGGCTTGCATTAGCAACTGATGGGTTCAATCCATTCAAGACCATGAGTGTTGCACACAGTACATGGCCTGTTTTGATACTCGTGTATAACCTACCCTTATGGATGTGCATGAAATAATCTTATTTTATTCTATCAACCTTGATACTTGGCCCTAAGGGACCTGGAAATGATATTGATGTCTATTTGCAGCCTTTGATAGAGGAATTAAAAGAGTTGTGGGTTGATGGGGTGGAAACTTATGATGCTTCAAGAAATGAGATGTTCCGCATGCATGCAACATTGTTTTGGACTCTTTCTGACTTTCCTGGTTATGCAATGGTATCCGGTTGGAGTACAAAAGGATATTTGGCTTGTCCTACTTGTAACAAAGACACTTGCTCTCATTTCTTAGATCATAGTAAGAAAATATGTTATGATGGGCATCGTTGTTTTCTTGAAAAAGATCATAAATATAGGCGTTGTAAATCAGCATTTGATGGCACTGAAGAGGTAAGGTGTGCACCGCCTATGTTATCTGGAACACAATTGTTACATGAATGAAGAGTGAAGATCGGACGCGTCCGCTGCACAATTGGAGAAAGAAGAGTATATTCTTTCAATTACCATATTGGAAGTATAATCTTCTGGGTCATAATCTAGATGTGATGCATATTGGAAAAAAATATATGTGATAATATACTTCACACATTGATGAATGAGTGGAAAGGGAATGATGGATTAAAAGCAAGACTTGACCTACATGATATGGGAGTAAGGCTTTCACTTCACCCACAAGAACGTGGTTCAAATAAATTTTATTTGCCTCCTGCAAGTTTCACGCTATCTTCACTTGAAAAGAGCACATTATGTCGAGTGTTGAAAAATGTTAAAAGTTCCAGATGGGTATGCATCTAACATTTCACGTTGTGTGAAATTGAAAGAGCGTAAAATTAGTGGGTTGAAGAGTTATGATTGTCATATCTTGATGCAACAACTTCTAGCCATAGCCATTCGTAGGATATTGCCTAAGAATGTTTGCTCAGTACTTGTTGAGCGCAGTAACTTTTATCGAGAGCTGTGTTCAAAGACTCTTCGGCCTGAGGACTTGGATAAATTGGAACACCGGATTGTTTTAATACTACGTTAGTTGGAAATGATATTCCCACCTGCCTTCTTTACCATAATGGTACATTTATCTGTTCACTTGGCTCAAAAGGCAAGGATTGCAGGACCAGTGCAATACCGTTGGATGTATCCAATTGAGAGGTCAAGATTTTTAATGAATTTTCATTTATAGCTTGTTTGTTTTTCAATAATTCTGATATTATTAAATTTCATACTTTATATTTAGGTACCCTATGACTTTGAAAAATTACGTGTGATATAGAAGTCATCCCGAGGGTTCAATAGCAGAAGGTTATTTAGCGGAAGAATGCTTGACTTTTTGTTCACATTATTTGACAAATATTGAGACGAGATTTGATAGGCCCCAAAGGAATTCCGATAATGTGCTTGATGGAGAGGAAGTGAATAATTTTGGTGCACAAGGTTGTGCCTTGGGAAAACAAGAGTTCATTAATCTAGATGGGATGACTTTGGTGCAAGCTCATCGGTGTGTTTTGTTCAATTATAATGGAGCAGAACCATTCATTGAGTAAGATTAAGTTCCCCAATATATTACATGATTATATTCGTGTCAAACTTCATTTAGTTTAATAGGCAATATGTTTGACATTATATTTTCACAATGCAGAAAACATAAGAGATTTCTTAAGATGAGGCAGCGCTATTTAAAACCAAGACAATTAGAGAAGACGTCTCATGATTTATTTCACAAATGGTTTAATGAACGTGTAAGTATTTGACTTTTGTATACGTGTTGGTGTATTATAGGTTTATGAAAAATTACCTTATTATATAAGTTATATCTTTATGAATATAGTTGCGAGATACTGAGGATCCAATTCCTAATGAGCTGAGGTGGCTAGCACAAGGTCCAAACCCTGTCGCGAAACGGTTTAAGAAGTTTGTGATCAATGGTTTGAAGTTTCATGTTAGAGATGTTAAGAGACAGAGAAAGACTCAGAATAGTGGAGTTGTCATAAAGGCAGTGACATCTAGTTATGCAAGAGCCACCAATTAAAATCCCGTTACAGGAGATATTCAGTACTATGGTGTGTTGACTGATATCATTGAGTTAAATTGCATTGTAAATAGGAGGTGGTATTGTTTAAGTGTGATTGGTTTGATGTTTTATCCAAGGGTAGAGGAATAAAGGAGGATGATTTTCGATTTAAGCTTGTTAATTCGTCACGATCGTTGGGAACAGATGAGTCTTTCATTTTAGCATCTCAAGCTGTACAAGTATTCTATGTTGATGATCCCATTGACAATGAGTGGAAAGTGGTTGTTGGCACAAAACCGCGAGACCTTTATGATATGCCAGAGCACGATATTGAATCTTATCAAGTTCAGGAGCCATTTCATGCACAACATGTGGATAACGACTTGGATGTACCTGATGATAGCACGTTTTGGACAAGAGCTGATTTGCTTAGAACAACTATAGAAGAAGATGATGATGTTGATGAAGATGAGATTTAGGATGATTCCATATCTACTACTCAATGGATGTGAAACGCCTTTTTTGGATGTCAAATGTCTTTTTTGGATATTATAAGCTTTGATTGATTATATATATATATATATATATATATATGCAGCTTTGACAATAATATTGCAGTATCATATTTTGTAGCATGCACATGTACGCTTCCCATGAAAATTGATTTAGTGTTTTTGTGCTTATATATTTTTAATATGTTTTGATCTATTCTTGGCACATTATTGTATAAGTGCAATCAAGGATTTTACCAAAAACAGAATGGTTTTATATAATTTCCATTGGACAACCAAAAATATCCTAAAGTTTTGAGGTATTTATTATTTCTTTTTATTGGTTTTACCTGGATTGTGCACCGCCTTTTTTTAACAATTTGATTACATTCTCTTAAATGAATTCTCACTTTTTTGTTTGCTTTTCCAGGAAGGATAAATAATAAGCTGACAATGAAACGAACGGTTAGTGAAGTCGAAAAAGTGAGTGAACAAAATACCGAAGCTTCAACTTCAAAATCATCCCATCGCCGAAGAAGAGACGGGGCCTGACCGATGCAAAAATGTCGTAAACACGACAACCTTATTACCATTAAGGTACATATATATAGAGATCATCTTATATAGTTTACATAATTAGACTATATTCAATATGAAGGAGAAAAAAGGATATCTATCTTTATTTTTGTACTAAACATTTATAATTGTTAATTTTTGTTTAAGGTTAAGTGGACAGCCGATCGGCCTTGGAAGTGGTACATATACTAATTATTTGGCAACACTTGCTCGGAATGGTATATTAGCTCCTTTGTGCTACAAAACTTGGTGGGAGATGCCTAAATGGCTTAAAGAGGATGTGGAACATTGTAAAGGTAAAACCCTTCAATGACATTAAAATAATTTTTATAGAAAAAGTGGATTAATATGCAGCAATTATCACATTTTCAGGGAAAGTATGATGTGAGAATCATGTCAAAACAGTGGACATTATCCTCCATCGAAAAAAAATGGAGGGGGCATAAGTGTGAATTAAAAAGTGAATACTACTCGGTTAGGGATACAAATGCAGAAAGATTGACAAACCCACCACCTAATGTTGAAAAGGAGCATTGAGAGTTTTTGGTTAGGCATTGGGGTATGCCTATTGCGAAGGTAATCCTCCATCTATCAATTTTGTTTAAAGTCAATGAGTTCAATTTATAGTTTACTTACTTTCAGTCATTATTTTAGGTGGAATGTTCTTTACTCAAAGAACGTTTACTTTTTCTCACTTTTTGTAGGAGGTCAGCGAAAAAAACAAAGAACGTCGTGGGAAGCAGACAATGATGCATACTACAAGGACAAAAAGCTTTGCACGTGTTTCTGCTGAGGTTAGTTGAAGTTTTGGTAATATAAATTATTTCAATTCCTATATCGTTGAATGATTATAAATGTTAGTGGTAAATAATATATATCACAATGTCTATGTTTCTTTTATAGATTGAGGAAAAAGAAGGTATTTAGCTTTCTCGTGCAGATTTATTCATTCGCACACATATAAATAAGGATGACAATGCTACTGATGCTACTTTGGAGATGATTGTAAGTTTTCATGCTTCCATTTTGTAAAAAGGGGGTCATGTGCCTTGAAGTGACCAATTTTTAAACTCTTTGCGGTGTAGTAGGGGGTCACATGCCTTGAAGTGACCAATTTTTAAATCATCAGCCCATGTGGAGGCATTTTAATTTCATTGTTTATCATCGGCCCATGTGGAAGCAATTTACTTTCTTGTATTTGTTGAAAAGCATGGGAGTATGGGATCAATGTATGTAGAGGCTTCTTGTTGATTGATTTGTGTTGCGGAGGAGAAGTATTTGCTATTTGTTGTTTGTTGTTTGTATTAATTTCTTACTCATACCAGTGCAATAGTCTTTTGAATGTAGGCAACTTCAAATAGTAGGAATAAGGCTTTGTTGAGTTAAGCTGAATAAGAGTTTTTGGTTATGCAACATATTCTTATGTTTTGCACAAAAGAGGCAGTTATTATTCACATCTGGCTTTCTCCACTTCCCATTCAACTGTTATGTGTGTCTACAACCCAATATATCACTGCTTTGAATCAATCACACTTTGTCTTGGAACCCATTCTAGCCCTTGTTATTCCATTAATTAATCTTGAAACCCTTTTCTTTCTCTCTTCAGTTATGAAATTTCATCTCAAGGATCTAAATCAGCTTTTTATTTAAGAATTTACTTGAACTTTAGGTAGAGCAGTGAGATTGAAAAAACAAAGCAAGTTGAAAAACGAACTTAGTAAAACTGACCGGAACTAAAGATTTAGCAGATTTGAGAGGTGACTTGCCCAGAGAATACTTGTATCACTTTACAAACTTTGTTCTCTCAGTTGTGAGGAAACAGGTATTACAATTTTGTGTGACACACAACTATATATTTAGAAATATGTAGTTAAAAAAAATTCTCTAGCAAAAACTAATGTAACCTTGCTATATGGAACAAGAGCTTTGTATCAGGTGTCTTCAGGCCTTAAGAGTCATTGAATGGTAGAAATCATATATAGGAACACATTCAAATTAAAATGTACAGAGACTTGGAATCTTAGTAACTTTCATTCATATGACCCCTTCATATTTAAGTACAGGGTGGTAGAACATCATTGTTTATAATAACTTGGACCATAGTCAGCACATTACATGATTTGGTTCCAAATGTCCGAGTGTCAGCTGTACGTAAGGTGTGGCTCAGCTGAAATCCTTATGCAAGGTGTGCCCTTCGGCCTTCTGAACAGTTGCACCTTGTGCTCGAACCTGTTTATATCTTGATTATTATTCCTCTATGATCCAGGGTAACTACAAAATGTTGTACTTTATGCTTACATTTCCTCATTCTCCTTGTATCATTATGTTGTTTCATTCCATTATGCCCATGTTTTGAAACTCAAGGAAAGCCATGTTATGAGTGTCTCACCAACATTGTTCTTTCCAAGTGACTATACTGAGACCATACTGAGGAGAGACCAGGAGGCAAGGGAAAGTGATCAATTATTTTATTTTATTTTATTTTATATTTGCACTGAAGACTTACCCTAGTTTGAGTGGTTCTTTTCTCTTCCCCCTTCTGTCCCCAAAAATCCTTGTCAGCCCGCGCCCACGATTGGACAAGTAGCTAGATTTATGTTGCCTAAATCCTTAGTCTTGTAAAAATAGAGTAATTAACTTTGGACTTTAACCTTTTATATAGCTAGAAAATCTCAATTTCTTGCATTTGGACTAGAAATTTAAAAAATTGAGTCCATTTTTCACCGCTGCTCTTTCACATTACTCCAGAATCTCCCTCCATTCTAAAAGTTAGGTATACTACCCAAATTTCATTTATGGAAACTTGATACAGCTGAACAATTTGACATAATCTTTGATTTACTTAGTTACCTGGAGCTGAAACTAGATTAAAAAGCAAAGAGCCAAAAAAAAAAAAAAAAAAAAAAAAAAAAAGGAAAAAAGAAGAAAAGGAAATCAATGTTTTCGGATTGTTGCAGTTTTGTTGTTAATACTTATTTCAACAATTTTAATGTTGTACGAACCTACTTGTGTAACTAAATCAATAATGAAATATTTGAAATATCTATATTTTCTAGCTGATATAGTTAATTTATTTTACAATTACAAATGTTGGATATGAAGCATTTTGTTTAATTTATTTTCTATACATTCATTATTATTATTATTATTATTATTATTATTTTTGCAGGAAAACATAAAAGATCTTCAAAAAAGTTACTCTGACTTGCCTATTGGCAGTTCTAATGATTTGTTCTCTATTGTGAGGGGAGAAGAGAGAACTGGTCATGCGGGGATGCTTGGCTTGGGGCTTATGCCAAGTGATGTTTGGGGGCCTTTCTTGGTAAAGCTGAACTGATTAATAATGTCAAAAAATCTGATGAGGAGGCATGTGCTGCACGTGTAGAGTTGCAGGAGACCATTTCAAAAATGCAAGCCAACTATGACAAGAAGTTGGAAAATTTACGAGCCAACTATGACGACAAGTTGGAAAATTTACAACAACAGGTGGCTATGCTAATGTAGATGCAATAGCAAAATTGTAGTGGACATGTATATTTATTATTAGTTTTACTCTTTACGAAATATATGTTTACTTATGCCAATATTTCATGTATTTTGTTTTGTTATTTTGAAGGGTTTTGATTCTTTAAATGCTCCTCCTAGAGTATTCCCAAATTCATTTTTTAGTCATGATGCCAATTTAGTTAAAGTTATGAACTTTTAATTTCTCTTATATATTAAATTTCCATTTATTATAATGTGCGCTTAATGAATTTATAAAAAATGTAAGGTAATTCAAATCAAATGGGCAAGAAGACTTGTTGAAGTTGAAGTTGAAGCTGAAGATGGGGTCGTGGCTATGCTTTCTGAATTTCCTTTGCCTTGGTTCTTTTTGAAAAACTTGTACTACATTTGTCAAAAATTCTTTTTTTTTTTTTTTGTGACATTTAATAGCTTTATCTAGACAATTTGGATGGTATTTTCATATTGGCAGGTTAACTTGTGGTTGTATTAGTATACATTTTGGCGCTTTGGTTGACATTTACTAGCTTTATCTTTTAGTAGTCAATTTCAATAATATTTTTCATATTGGCAGCAGATTAACTTGTGGTTGTATTATGTTAAAACAATTTGGATGGTATTTTTATATTAACTTGTGTTATATTGGATGACATTTAGTAATCGTAAAGATATTTTTTTCCAAAAACAATAAAGGGGGAAATATATATATATATATATATATATATATATATATATATATATAATGACACCTTACTAGCGCTCTTTTAAGAAGCGCTAGTATAGGGGGGAAAAAAAAAATTCAAATGACCCTTTGCTAGTGCTTTTTCAGAAAGCGCTGGTAAATACCCTATGTCAGCGCTTCTGAAAAAGCGGTGGTAAAGGGTATTTACCATCACTTTTGAAAAAGCACTAGCAAAGGGTCTTTACCAGTGTTTCCGAAAAAGTGCTGGTAAAGGCCTACTGACGCTGGATTCACCAGCGCTTTTTCAAAAGCGCTGGTAAAGCGCTAGTAATTACTAGCGCTTTTTAAGACTTTTTACCAGCATTTTTGAGAGCTGGTGAAAGCCATAACTGTTGTAGTGATTGATTGTATGAAATGCTGGTGAAAGCCATAACTATTGTAGTGATTGATTGCATGTTTGGAACGTGGGAGCTTTAACGGCATCAAGGGGCATGAGTGCATGATTGATGGCACGTTTGGAACGTTGAAGATCCAAGGAAAATCAAGACACGATTCTATGTTTGTAACGTGGAAGTTCCAGAAAATCAAAGCACGATTGCATGGTTGGGACTCTAGGAGAATCAGGGAAAGCACGATTGTATGGCTTGGACACTTGGAAGCATTTGGAAGCATCAATGGAACTGTTCACAACTGTTATTGTAACTAATTATATTTTCATTCTATAAATAGGTCATTATGTAGGCCTGCTCAATGCCAAATAAAACACGCATTTCAATACAATTTTACTTTTAATTGAAATACACTTTTAATTTAATTAGTTTCAATCCTGCACTTTACTTTCCATTAGATAATTCCTTTACTTTCATAAGTAATTTTATAGTTCTTCCTAGCCATTTAACCATCCCGAAGTCCTTTATCAAAGGTAAAAAGAACCTAGAGGTGTTTATTCTAAACCTCTTCACAATCGCTTGGTTTCGCAGTCTTCCTTCTAGAATATTGTTTGGATCTCTCTTTGAAACTGCTGCAGTTCCTGGCACGCCTATCCGGTTCTATCAGAACCAGCGTCCATTTTTTTCAGGCCAAACATAGTGGCACGCCCGGCAGGACATTCTGAACGGAGTGTTTCTATGGCGGGAGGAAAAAGACACGGCAAATCTGTTCAAGATCCTGCCAAAATTGAAGAGGAACAAGCTATTGGACTTTCTGATGAAAGTTCATGTTCCGTTCCTAAAGAAGGAAAAAATATGATTGCAATGATCGTCGAAGCAATGACGAATGGACCAATCTTGGATATGACACGTTTGATGAGTCGTAATCACGATGAGGCCATTCGAGCACAAGACAAAATGACCAGCAGACTGGAAACTATGTTTAAAAGGTCTTCTACAAATATGGCCAGTCTTCCTCAAAGCATTGCCAATCTAACTCAAAGCATGGCCGGTCTTCCTCAGAGTATGGTCAGTCTTTCTAAAAGCATGGCCAACGTTCCTCAAATTTTGGCCAGTCTTTCTCAGAGCATGGCCGATAGGCCAAGTAATTTAGAAAGTTCTCAGCAATCGGCCATTCCAATGAACAGACCAAGTACTTTTTCTTTAGGGAAGTCCATCTTATCAACCTGTGAGTACCATACCACAGGCACAGACAGTGCAGGTGCCACCTGTACAATTGATGTCCATTCCAGTGACCCAGTAAATTCAGAATTCAGCTCCAGTGATTACGCCTCAACAGGTATGTCATGAAGTTTTTACTAACAATTTGCATCAATTTAGGTCTTCTTAGGGTATAGCTTAGGCAGGTCAATTAGGAATTCAATCGTATTTTCCACCCAATGTTGGCCAGTAGAATGTTCAGACACCTTTTACCATCCCTCAAAAACCACCTCAGGTTTTTCCTGTAGCAGGTGGGTGGTAGAACATTCAAAGGGAGCATCCTGAAGAAGGAGGCAATAGAGGTCACTGAAGGAATAACCTAGACCCAAACACATTTCCAGTGACGTTTGGGGGGCAACCCATGGCCAACCAACCACAAAGATGGCCAGAGAATTACCAACCACAAGTCCAGTTACCTGAGATGTGGGATAGATACCAACTTACTGAATTCTTTCAGCATGAATTTGGTTTGACGAGAAGGGGTGGAAGACCTGTCTATAGGAAACCATACCTTGAGTTCGTAGATAATGTTGAATATCCAGGGAATTTCAGAATTCCTGAATTTGCCACTTTCAGTGGCGAAGGCAATCAATCCACCGTAGAACACATAAGCCGATTTACGGTTCAATGCGGCGAAGCAGGAGGCAATCAATGGTTAAAAATATGGTTGTTTCCTAATACCTTGACCGGATATGCCTTCAAATGGTATACTAATTTGCCTACAAATTTTATTAATAGTTGGCATCAGTTTTAAGAAATGTTCCATGCACATTTCTATCGAATTAAGCCAGAAGTTTCCATGGCCGATCTTTCTAGGCTTAACCAGTTGCCAGGAGAATCTGCAGAAACTTTTCTATCCAGATTCAGAAAGGCAAAGCACAAGTGTCATGTAGATCTTCTAAAAATCGAGTATGTCAAAATGGCTGTTAATGGTCTAGACCTTGAATTGTGCAATAAATTCGAAGGGATAGAATTCTGTGATCTCTTTGACTTGGTGAGTAGAGTTGCCAAGTATGAAGGGTTACTTTATGAGGAAAAGGATAGGAAAGCTTCCTCAAAAGGAACTTACTATCGCAACCCAAATTATGAAGTCTTTGCTGCTGACCTTAACAGTGATTTTGAGGTCCATATGGTAGACTTAAACGTCAAAAAGCTATATATTTGTGAGGCACTTGTAAAGTCAAAATCTGTAGCTACTACTAGTGCCCAAGCCACTTCCACTTCAAATAAGAAAGGGATACCTGATTCCACCAAAGGATATTCCTTTGACATTACCAAGGCTGAGCAAATATTCGACTTGTTGATGGTCGACAAGCAGCTAATTCTAACTCTTGGGCATAAACTCCCAATTCCTTACGATTTACTTGGGGAATATTGTAGGTATCACAATTCATGGAGACATTCAACTAATAATTGTGTTATTTTTCGTAATATTATGCAGAAAGCGATCAAGGAGGGGAAGATGAAATTTCTAGAGAAAAATGAAGCAATGGAAGTAGATGGGAATCCTTTTCTAGCAGTGGTCACTACTAATGTAATTAGTATCACTGTTGACCATCCTAGAAAGAAGGTGGACTTGGACGAAGGAAAGGCTAAAAGAAAAACAGCTGTTGTGCCAGAGTCAATTCCATTGGAAAAATCTGTGGCAGAACTGGAGAGGCAACTCTGAAAAGCTTAAATTGCCCTCATTCAGCAAGGGTGTTGTCCTCAGTGCAATCGATGGGCAAGAACAAGGAGGAGTAGACACCAAGTGAGGAGCGTGGTCAGAAAAGAAAGGTTCATGACAGATTGGCTTTTCGACAGCTGGTAGAATCGTTTATTGTAACCATTCCAGCCAGAGAAAGGCATGTTGACAGAAGGCCTATTAATCAAAAGAGACCTGAATATGTAGAAAACTTTAGGTTTTGACCACGAAACCTGGAAGCAAGGGATTATGAGAAAAGAAGCTTTCTTCCACCAAAGAAAAAAGATTCCAAATTTCATGAAAGAAAGGTGGAAAAACCTACCAGAAAAGATAAGGAGTTCGTTAATGCTTCTCATGGAAAACCCAGGGTCACTTCAGAAGTTTGGGTAAAGAAAGAAACTAAAACCCTTAATCTAAGGATGGTCAAGCCCCCAATTCCTCATTCAAAAAGGTGGAAAAGGGTGGACCATCCTAAGTTTCCCAAATATAGAGATGCAGCTTACACGCGAACACAAAAACGTCGTTTCCAGAGGAGAAGAGCAAAAGGAAGAAAGCTGTGGGAGGAGGATCATGGTTAGAAAACTAAAAGTGAAGTAAGAAAGCCCATAGACCTGACCGAGAAATTGGCAAGGGGAAGAGATAGAGTCCCAGATTGTTTAGAAAACTTTGCTTCTGAGCTAGAAGAGTCCCTTGTGGAAGAGGGCAAGAAGCAAGAAGCAATCCCAATAAAGGAACTAGAGAGTTCTTAGAGCTCATTCAGTTTGAAGAAAATCCGTTTTGGGAGCTTTCCAAAGGAAATGCCATGCAATATGGTTGTTATCCTTCCATTGGTTTTTGAATCCAAACCAAATCATCCATCTTCAATGATAGGTGATGTTGCTGATGATGAGTCAATTCTAGAAGAAATAGAAATTGCTGAATTAGATTTAGCTCCAGAGAAAAGGATTGATGGTATACACATAGAAGAAATTACGGAGGAATTTTCAGAAGAAGAAGCCGAGGCTTTCCAAGAGCCTTATGAAATTAAAATTCAAGATGATGTACTTCCAACTCCAAAGAAGGTGGTTTTGGAGAAACCCCTTGTTGGAATAACTCAGTAGTTGAAGCCACTCTATATAAAGATATTAATTGAGGGTCGTCCACATTTAAGAGTCTTGGTGAATAATGACTCAGTTCTGAATATTGTTCTTATTAATGTCATAAGGAAATTGGGCAAGACAGCTGAGGATGTAATTCCTAGTGATGTGGCTGTCAACGGTTTTATTGGAGGTTCGGTGGAAACATAAGGAATCCTTCCATTAGAATTGACTGTTGGAGATGTTACAACCATGACATCATTCTTTATTGTGGAATCCACAGCGGCCTATAATTTATTATTAGGCTGCGAATGGATACATCCCAATTTTTGCATTCCATCCACGTTGCATAAAATGCTAATTTTTTGGGATGGCGATGAAGTCAAGATTATAGAGGTGAACAACAAACCATTTATTGCTAAATTGTATCATGCAGATGCTGAGCTTTACAATGGAGAGTTCGTGCCAGTGAGGTTCATTGGAAAAAATAACAAGGGCCGAACCAAGTCGGCGACAATACGGAAAACTCTTACAGAAGAAGAAGCTAATGAGTTGTTCCATGAGATGTTAAGGCCAACAATCCTCTCATAGGCTGACGTCCAATGCCTTACACTTTGAATGGTTTAATAGAAGATGCTCACAATAAAGAGAGGGCAAGAAGCCAGGCGGTGAAAGCCTAGCAAGATTAAAAGCACACCTGGCCGAATTACGGCTAAAATGAAGTAGATGATGTACCGAGGTACTTTCCAGTAACTTGGTAGAAACTACACTAAAAGAAAAAAAGGGCTTCTACGAGGGGGCAAAAGCGCCGTGAAAACTTATTCACGGCGCATTGTAGGCCCTCGTGTATGAGGGTTTCGTAAATACTTAATTTTTTTTACTAGAAAAAATCAATCTCGTAGAAAAATAATAGAATCGCCGTAGAAAACAATTTTGTCTATATATTAAATTTATTTACGATAGGGATATTTTCCCGTTAATAATTAATTTATGAGATTAATGCATTTGAATATTCACGAGGCAACGATGCATGTCGTAGCGGCGGATTTTAACTACCGTAAATAATATAAACATTTTCACGAGGTGTTGTGTATGCCGTAGAAAAGTTTTTTATGGCAGATTGTAACTACCGTAAATAATATAAACATTCTCACAAGGTATCGTGTATGCCATAAAAAAGTTTTTTATGGCAGATTTTAACTACCGTAAATAATATAAACATTCTCGCGAGGTGCTGTGTATACCGTAGAAAAGTTTTTTACGAGGATTTTCACTACACGTAAATAATATAAACCATGCATGGACTTTTATTTACAGGGTTTCAAGCTCCCCGTAAATAATATATATATATATATATAAAATAAATAAATCACCCTTAAATGCCAGTTAATCACTCATCCACGACCTATAATTGACATCACTTTAAGTTATCATTCAATTCAAAAAACATATCAACACATCCTATATGGTAATGCTAATTGCTATAACCAAAACAATCTCTTGAAATACCCCATTAAACATATCAAAAGAGTTAAAACATTTTTACAATTCATCATTTATCAATGTGCTAAAACAATTCAACATTTATCTATGTTCTAAAACAAGAACTAAATCCACTTTTCAAGAAAATCATCAGTTTCCTAACACTTCTGTTAAAAAATTGATAAATCTTCTAGTACTTGAGTTTCAGTCTGCGCTTGTCAAAAAACCACCTCACTATCCATGGTACAAAATCCAAGCAAATAGCTGCATCACACAAGTCTTAAATTCATAATGCTAATAACAAAAGGAAACAACAAGATTATCATTTATGAATCAAACACAAACAAAATGCAGCCAAAAACTACTACCAAAAAGTACTAACAAAATAACATACAGAAATAAACAACTGACCTGAAGATTAGATATCAAAAAGCCATGCAACAATTAATAGACATGAAAAAAAAAGTAGTAATATCAACAAAAATTTAATGGGAATGACATATATTTACATGAGTAACAATATCAACGGAAATTCAAATCTTCAAACTAAAAATATTAGGTCTTACATCATCAGGGGTTTTACACTCTTAATTTGGGCATAATTGTATACCATCCACCTTTTTATTTTATTTTATTTTATTTTATTTTTTTCTTTTTCCAAAAGAACAACAGAGCAATGAACTCCTATTGTTTTTAGGTTGGTGTCCAAATATAGGGTCTCAAAGTAAGCAAGAAATTTTGCAATAAAAATATAATGAAACTAATGAAAATTTTCTTCTTAACCATTTATCAGATTTCTAAGTTAGGTCATGATTCATTTACATATTTGGCCATTACATGAAGAATCAAATAGTAGGTCATAATACTCAGAATCATGATTTTTAATTATTGTTACTTAATGTGTATGTGTGTGAGAGAGAGTATATGAAAAGACTATGTTGCAGAGTTAGTTCATAGCAAAGAGAGATGAATTTTATGCACTGTGTCTGGATAATGCCTCACTTATCTAGATGGGAAGAATATTGATACAATTATATACATTTTGACTTTTTTAATGATCCAATGAATATATTATGCTTGACTCCTAGTTGAATATCCAACTGGCATGGAGTTGAATGATTTTGAAGCTTAACTGAAAAAGTGAGTGAATTTGGTAGACATCATGGCATTTGAAATACTACTAAATGTGAACTTAGAATTAGAAGAGAGTTGAACTCAAAGCTATATTAACTAGGCATTAATTGGATAGTTTTTTCTTTTTCTTTTTCTTTTTTCTTATGTAAAATGAAGGAAAGTCATTTTTTATTGTAAAAAACAATGTAGTCGACAAATGCAATAATCAAGTACACAATCAAGATACAAAAATTTACTTAATTTAGTGTAAGAAATTATAAACTTTTTAATCTTAATTTAGTGTAAGAAATTATAAATTTACTCGCGTGATTCACGCAATCCAATTGAAATAATCATAGTATTGATATTAGAGTTGACTGTGATTGAGCATGCTACACGGTCTTTATTGTGCTGTTCATTCTTAAAAATTAAAACACAGACAGCAAGTGATGATATGATACATTCATTATATTAATCTTACCAAATTTAGCACACTTATCCAACTAGTGTAGGCTGTTATTAATTTATACAAATTAATACCTGAAAACCTTATTATAATCCTTATTTTGAAAAAAAACCCTATTTCACTTTTATCAAATCAAAGCTTTAGAGGGCAGATATGTGCATAACTTTACCCATATCCTCCGCACAAGGCGCATGTTAGCCATCTCTGTTGTTGTATCACCGCCATTGACCCCCTCTGCTTAACCTAACCAGCCTCATCTTTGTTTCAAATTCCCAAATTTCTCTCTCACACACATACACACATAAAACAACAGAAAAAAATAAAGTTTAGTTGGGAACCCTCAAACAAAAGATCCATCAACTACACAGAGCATCAACATTTTTCAAAGCTTCAAATACAGTAATCAAATAGCAAAATAAATAGTAAAACTATAAAAGTGCTTAATTAATCAGAAAGTAGCAAAAATGGTCACTTAAGGCACGTGACCACCCCATACACCGTAATATGTGATGAATGAAAACCAAACTCCATCCGCAACAATTTTCCGACCTCCATTTATGCACAATAATAATAATAAAAATGGTCACTTAAGGCACGTGACCCCCTAAAACAATCAATTAAGCATATAATGCATTGCCATGGTGATAATGAAAATGAAGAAGCATAGTATTTGACCTTTGTTGTAGACTGGAATCATAGAAATTCTGATTCTTCTGCTCCTAATGAACTGGTGATAATCAATTATGTTAGAAAGAATATTTAAAAAATGTCATGCCAACAAATACATTAAAAATCAAATCGTATGACTAATTTAAAAATAATAATAGTAAGTTAGTGAATGAGTAATTGACCTCTGTAATTTTCACATATTTCTTAGGCCATACAATCGAGCTTGTGATAGCATCACGAAGATAAAAATTTCCATGTTGATACGGGCAAATCAACCCTTTAAGCCATTACAAACTTGTCAAAACTAATTTCATGTTGATGCGGGCAAATCATAGATCCCTTACCTTGATGGAGTAGTCCTTTTAATTCAATATCAAGGGAGATAGCAAATTTTATAGGGATGACTAGAAAATTATTATATTTTAATTTTTACAACGAAAATTCACAAATACTATTTCCTATGTGAACATAAAATCATTTTACATCTTTCGAGTAGTTTTCAATCCTTTTACAAAAATACACAACTTGTATATATATCACTATATTAACTAATAGACAAAAAAATCTATTACTATTTGCTTACTATAGTACTTTTCATTGTTAACATATTTCTTACTACGGCAAGACAATGACCCAACAGAAAAGTCAGCCTCACCACTATAACTTATAAGGATAACAACAATTTATATTTTTTATACTGTATTAATTTGCCTTTGTATTCATGTAAGGGCCATTTTTTTTTTTTTTTTTCCTTCAAAAAACTAAGAAATAAAAATGCTTGGCACCAATAATACTAAAAACCTTATAAACGTGGCATTATATAGAAAATTAACATGTCAACTTCTTTTCCATTTTAATAATTTGAAAGAGAAATTGACATTTTCTTAATCAACTACAAAGGGGCGCAATTTAAATCCTGATTAGTGATTACAAACAATAGAAGTTGATTTTTCCAGCATATATATATATGCATGTTGCACTCTATCAATGAATATTGGTGATGACCTCTCCGTTTTCTTCTACAATATTTTAGTTGTGTTATACGAGTATGAAACTATCTTAAATTATTTTTTCTTTTAAACACAGTTGCATAGCTCCCATCTCAAACAGTCACTTCTCTCTCTCTCTATATATAAATCTATATATATCATGCATAATTACTTCTAGCTAAAGTTAGTTCATTACCCTTATCATTTTCTCTTTTACAAAGGAGTTGCATTTACCAATACCAGTATAGGTGGTGCTGTGATACTTTAACCACTTTCTACAGAGCCATGCTGTTCCTTCTCAACACTTTAAAGAAAGGTCATTTTCAATGCTGACCCCAATATGCAGAGTGATTAGGAACTTTATTCAAAATATATATTTTTATTTTTTTAAAAAAGAAATAAACTCCTAAAATTTACTTAATTTAGGAAGAAAAGGGTCTTTTCAAAGAGTAAGTTGGTAATGAAATAATCATTTGCATATAGTTATGCTCTTTGGTCTTCTTAGAAGGCTGCTTGCATTCATGTGTGTGTGTGTTAGTGTGTGGAGGCATACATGCATGAATTTTTATATTCTATGCCAGTTTATTTTTACCTTCTTAATATAACATTTAAGGGCCATATTGGATTATTAAGGTAGCCAATGTGACACCCAATACTAAATTTAAAATTTAAAATAATACCATGCAGAAAACAAAGAATTTAAACTAAGACTTACCTACATGAGGAGACCTATTCCATTTCACAAGTTTTACAACTGCCCCGAGATCTTGGAAATGCTGAGCAAAATTGCAAATGACTGAAATTTTAGCAAGATTGTCACTTTCTGAGCATAGAATGAGATATTGTGCCCCAAACTCTACAAGGAGAAAGAAAAGGAAAATTCACATTAACCAAGAAGAAATAGACTTTCAAAAACTTTTGAGGCACTACAGACCATAGAACTCACAACTGAGTAGAGAGCCTCCTAATAATCAGTACCCCCGGGATCCAAAACTTGTGAGAAATAGGGCATCCAGAACAGAAGCAACACGTTTTGCAACCAATGACACTTGTTTGGCTGAACCAGGCATTCTGAAAATAGTGGGGTGTAGAGCAAAACGGGCACCAAAGTCACTGGTAAAATTGACTGGACCAGAATCATATATGTGAGCGGAGATGCAGTTCTTCACCAAACGATTATCATCCTTCAAAAGAAAAGGAAAAATAAAGGATGGAAAAATGTTGCAAAGCATGGACTATAAAAAAGATCATATGCATTGACCAACAAATAAGATTACAGTATTCTGCATTTACAAATATATATATATATATATATATATATATATATATATATATTGACTCACTAAATCATAAGCAGCATTCACGAATAACAAAGCATACCAGATTGAGCTGTGCTTCACATGCGCCCTCAATAATCTGCATCAGGTGTAGGCAAATTATGTTATATATACACACACACACACATTTGACATAGCTGAAACAGAAGATTTCATATTCCCGAATCATTAGAACTATGCATTTTTTTCATAGGAAAACTTTCAATTAACAGCTAACACCCCTATGGAAGCAGTTTGTGCCTATCCAAAATTTTAATTAACTCCTTATAAGCTCTATTGGTGAGCTCTTGCAAATTTAAGCATGATTACTTTGTTTTCTTATTCTTTACTGAAACCGTTTCTTTTAGCAGCCTCAATTCCTTTTTTTTTTTTTTTTGGCAAATTCCCAAAGATTTTGTTATATAATAGTGAGAATATAAGCTATAACGTCATAATAAATAAATTTCTGATACGAGCTACAATAATAAAGAAAAATGGCAACATAAAATCTATTATTTTTCCATCCACTGATAAATACAATAAGAAGAAGTACTGTTCTTTTTAATTATTCCTGTCTTGAAGAGACATGATTTGTAATGACCCCGTTATTTTCCTCCCTTTCTTTTTCGGTGATTTTCTTTTTTCGTCTTTTTACTATTTTGTCTTTTCCCTATTTCGTCTTTTTCCCATTTATCATTTTTCTTTGCATAACCTCACTTTTTGTGTTCAGATTTGATTCCGGCTTTGCATGCATTCATGATATTTGATTTCCATAACATTTGAATTTTTACTTTTGTAGAATATACGTTCTAATTGTTTACTTTTTCGTAAAAGGCATGGATGCATACTTTCTTAAAAATATTTTGACTTTTAGGGTTTTATTGTAATTATGTAAAGTAATTATTTTTCGTCTTAAGGATCTTTTTACAATTTAATTTGGAAGATATTTTGAAAAATGATCTTTTTGCAATTTTTGAAAAATGTGACAAGTGTCACATTCTCATGATGCCACTTGTTGGCATTGGGGTGGAGTGACTTGGATGCATAATCTCTTGACATTTAGAGGGTGGAGATTCACCCACTTGTTGGCCTAGGATAGGTGCACTTGTTAGTTTGGATGGTTGACAAGTGTAGGTGTGGGATTAAGCCTAAGAAGGAGCCATTGATTTGTGACAAGTGTAAGCTCACATTTTAGTCTTGCATTGTGTGTGAGAGGTAGTGTAAGAGCACATAGTGAATAGAGGAATACTAGATCCTTTACTTACCATTTTTCACTTCATCTATTTCATTACACTTGTTCTTCAAAACCCTAACCTAGCCACCATTGAAGAAAAACTTGGTTAATAGTTTATTTCTTCATTTTGGCCTCCTTCCACACACCTTAGACCATTAACCTTGGTAGACAAAAGTTTCCTCTTGCTCTCCTCTACAAAACCCTAGAATTGTTTTCCATTTTTAAGCTTGGTTGCTTAGATTATAGAGATTCAATTTTCTATTGAGGTAGGTTTGGTAGTATATTTATGTTTTAAGTGTTTTATAGTCCTTTGGGGTTTAATATATATTGTATATATACTTTAAATATGATAGTCTTGCATATTTATAGGAAACCCTCACTTCTTAACTTAGGGTTTATTGATTTAAGTATGTATGATATGTATATACCATGCATAGAAGGATTATATAATTTAGTAGTATGCTAAATTCTAGTATTTTCACATATGGTAGTGATATAGAACTCTTGTAGAATTATTAATGTTATATACAATTTCTATTGACTTGAATTACTATATTTATGGTACTGATAATTCTATAATCGTGTTGATGATTAATAGTGATTATTTTAAAAGCTTATTGTTAAAATGTTAAGATTTAATATATAAAGTTTATTGTTGAGGCATGATTTAAATTGATAAGTTGGTAGTATTTTATTATGCATAATATCATGATGAGGACTTGTCATTTGGTATGTCATTTTAGACTTGGAACCTTAAGACATGGTTTGTGTGGTTTCAAAATACTTGTGCATTGAAGGTGGTTTATATGCTTTAATTATAGTGTATGAGTTTTGAACTTGATTTTTGGATTCTCTTGGGACATTGTTACAAGTAACATGGCTAGAGTTTGCCTCTAGTGCGGGAGGTATGAGGTCTCGCCAATTGAGATAGTGCGCATTAGGGTGGTCTACCCAACGGGTTAATGCCCGGAATAACCGTTTTGATCTTGGTTTAGTCCGAGACGTGATGTCCAAGTCTTCCACTAATTGATTTCGCATTCAATTCCAAGTTGACAACCAATGCTTAATTGTAACTTGTAATTTTTGTTATTGGCGAATTGATGTTGTTAAGTGCATTGATATTGATATGTGTTGTTAAAGAATCATTTAAGTTAGCTTAAGATGATCCCTTAGAACACCTTGAACATAGACGTTAAGTGGAATGATCCCTTGTATTCGTCTATATTGATCTTGCAATGATATTAGAACTTTAGGGTATACGCATATGTTTCTTCATACGAGTAACTTGATTACTCACCCTAGTGGTTTGGGTTGTTTTACAGGTAAGGAGACTATGTTCTTAGATGCTCATCATCCTTAGAAGCTTATGAGCAATTTGAAGCATTTTTGTATATTGATATGCAAGTGTTTAGCATGCCTTACTTTTGATGTCATATTTTGTATACCATGGGTGTATGGTATTTTAGAAGCTAATGTAACTTCCTTGATGTGTAATGATACTTAAGTACTTACTTTAGACACTATAAGCATGTATGTAATGAAGCCAAGGGCTAAGCATGTTCACTTTAGTACTTGTATCCAATTGGTATCAAATTTTGCTTCAAAAGTGTATTTTAACCAACTTTGGAGGTTTGGCATATGAAAATTTTATAAATGAACATGTATAAGGCTATAAGTTGTTGTAATCCATTCAATTATTCATTTTGAGGTTGTTGACATGTCCACATATTCACATCTCCTTGAAAATCAGCTTGAAACCCTTGTTTTCGAACCAATGTATGATGGGAATCGAGGCTTGGGTTAAGCCTTAACACTTTTGGTGCATAACAGGCCATTTAGCAGTTTTTCGAGTCATTTCAGTCGTTCGAAATGCTAGTTCGGTCGATCGATGGCTATTGGAAACTTCAATGAACAGTAAAACACTCATTCCAGTAGCCATTTTTGCTTTTTGGGTTTATTTCGGTCGACCGATGGCCCATTTCGGTCTACCGAAACAACCTCCCCTCAAAAATATGTTTTCAGAAAAGTTTCTGTACATTTGGGTAGTCCAAAACTCCATTTCGGTAGACCGAAATAGCCCTCATGCACCAGCCTTCCAAGTTTTGTTTCAGCTTTGATGTTCCAACTTCAAAGGGTCATAACTCCTTCATTTCTAATCAAAATGGGGTGAATCTTGAGCCTAAACTCAAGCATTTTGAGTCAAATTTTCAAAATTGTGAAATGATTAGATTAGGTTGTATTCACCTTGTTTGACTTGTTTAGAGTCAATTCTCTCTTTTTATTTGTGAATTGACCATTTTGCCCTTAATTACGGATTTTGCCTGTTTTGACACTAGTTTTCTCTTTTGCTCTCTTTAACTTTCATGACTTAATGGAATGTCACATTGGTGTCTTAGAGATAATTTATATCTCAAAGGATTATGGTTTTATCTTTTGCTTCCGCATTTCGGATCCGTTATCGGGTCAATTTTTGGGTCATCATTGACGCACCAGGTTGAAAAACTTGGGCCGTCACATGATTAAGTATTTCCAATCATGCAAACTATTGTAACAACTAACCCACTAAATAATGAGGCAAATTCAATTACCCACATTATGAACTAACCTTACTGGTAATTTTAAGTTTGTAACTTTGTATAGATCTGGGTTTTTAATTCAAATTAAGATTGATCATTTGGATGCAGAGAAAATAATAAAAAAAAAAGAAGCAAACTTCATGCATCAAATGAAACTAATAAAGCAATATATGTTAAGAATTCGAAGATAAATTTTCATAAAAAAAAACCCTAACCTGTTCTTTAACTCCTCGCTTAGCTCTAACCTCAAAATCGCATCAGAGTCTTGTATTCCTCTCACAAACACACAAACATACACACACACACACACACACACACATATACAAACATATGTGCATAAAAATGTATAGAGATAGAAAAAAAATTGTGAAAAAGACTAGACTGATAATGGTCAGGGTTATTCCCTAATTCTCAGATCAAAGAGATGAAACATTCTGAAAATAAGACTAAAAAGTATTGAAAAACAAGATAAAAAAGTGTTGAGAATAAGATTAAGTTAAAGGTGTTGATAAAAAGATTAAAAAGTGTGAAGAACAAGATTAAAAAGTGTTGATAAAAAGATTAAAAAGTGTGAAGAACAAGATTAAAAAGTGTTGAGAATAAGATTAAAAAGTGTTGAGAAAAAAAGATTAAAGGTGTTGAGAAAAAAGATTAAAAAATCTTGAGAACAAGATCAAAGGTGTTGAGAAAAAATACTAAAAAGTGTTGAGAACAAGATTAAAAGGTGTTGAGAATAAGATTAAAAGGTGTTGAGTTAGAGATTAAAAAGTGTTCAGTTAAAGATTAAAAGTGTTGAGAATAAAATTTAAGGTGTTGAAAATAGGATTAAAAGTGTTGAAAATAAGATTTAAGGTGTTCACAATAAGAATAAAAAGCATTGAGAACAAGATTAAAAGTATTGAGAAAAAGATTTAAGGTGTTAAGAATAAGATTAAAAGGTGTTGAGAATAAGATTAAAAAGTGTTGAGTTAGAGATTAAAAAGTATTGAGAATAAGATTAAAAAGTGTTGAGAATAAAATTAAAAAGTGTTGAGAATAAGATTAAAAGTTGTTTAGAACAACATTAAAAAGTGTTGAAAAAAAGATTAAAAAGTGTTGAGTTAGAGATTAAAAAGTGTTGAGAATAAGATTAAAAGTGTTGAAATTAAGATTAAAAGTTGTTGAGAATAACATTAAAAAGTGTTGAGAAAAAGATTAAAAAGTATTGAGTTAGAGATTAAAAAGTATTGAGAACAACATTAAAAAGTGTTGAAAATAAGATTAAAAAGTGTTGAGAAAAATATAAAAAAGTGTTGA